CCCCAAAACCCCAAAACCCCAAAACCCCAAAACCCCAAGGGTAAAGAATCAAAATAGAAATTGGGAAATTTAAATTAACGTATAGATGAAATCAAATTAAATAATAATAATTCATTTCAATATAAAGAAAAAAATCGTTCTTTCTTTCGATAATATTTCATTCATCATCAAACAGACATGAATTTTTAAAAATACTCAACAACTAACATATCTGGTACTGCAGGCACAGCTCAGCACTTCTCAAACTTAAACTAATCTATGGGTTACGTATCAAACTCTTCAATGAAACGACAGTCTAGTGGAAATACTCGTCAAGAGCAGAGTGTTGAGCGACTTAAATCGTGCATCGCTGATTTGAAAAAGCTCGCTTCAAATAAAGTTAAAAGACAGACCAATAATTATGTAGATTAGGCTCCGTCGTTCGGTGATCAACAGACACCCTCTTCTTCCTCGTAGTATGGATATGATGGAAGATCGAAGCCAGATAGAAATTCTCAATACGTTGGAACAAAGTCAAAATCTAAAAATCAACAATATGACAGTAATTATGATTAATAACAACGTAAAAATCACCATTAAACCAAAATGGCAAATGCACTTAAGAAGTACATGAATGAGACTGAATACACTGCTGCAGCAGGAGTAAACACTTCCGCAACAGGGATTTCCAAATTGGATTAAAATTATAGAGATATGCTGAGCTAAGTTACAAATTCTACAACTGGCATCAATACCTCTGCTTATCATAAAAGTAATACCAATGACAGGAGAGAAAGCCACAGAGGTAGAAGTAGTGCAAATGGCAGCAATAAAAAGAAGTAAAGTTCTAGTACTACTGGTTACAACTAAGGCTCTTAGAGAGGTCACAGTGCAACAAACTATCATCATTAAAGAGAAGACAGCTATTCAAAAAAAGAAACAGCTTTGATGGGAAGCAATAAAAAGAGAGGAAGCGCTTCTCACATGACTGGGGGGACAACAGGTTAAGGAGTGTACGCATCTCAGAAAAAATAATTAGAAAATTCAATTAGGTCCAATAAATACAGTGACCATGGATATTCATCTAAGTAATAACCTAGAAAGGCTAAATCTCAAGATAGAATTCATCCAAATTATTAGCAATCTGATAAGCCCAGTCCTTCAAATCAACTGTACTCCAACAATCACAGAAGCTAGCAAAATAATTCTAAATCAAGCAGACCTTAGTCATCTTCTACCACAAATATGCAAAGATAAAATCAAGGAGGACATTCTGAAAATTTATATCCAGAAAGCTATTCAGCACTAAATAAAAATTCTAATTTACTGTAGCAAAAAGAAAGAAAACCATTCGCCTTCTAAAGCTATCTGCTTAATCAAAATGACATATACTCATAGACTTCTGCTTCTAATCAAACTAAGAAAACAGGAAGCGGAACAACTGTTTCTCATGTCAATGGAAATGGGGCTTCGTAGCCTTTTTCTAAAACAGATACCTTCTTGGGTGGAGGTGGAACTAATGGAAGTGAAAACCCCAATGCTGCTATTGATATAAGAATTAAGAATAACAAGCATGGTGAGACAGATTACCTCGTCATTCAATCACCAACTTCATAATAACATCCCTAACATAGTAATATAAACTAGCCTCGTGGTAGCATACATTCTAGCAACAACTCAAACATTATAAATCTTACAGATAATAAGGCAGATATATACGGTGGAAGTGGGAAGTAAAATAGTCGAAGAATGGACTCAAGCACCAGTAATCAGTATTTATAGTAGTAATAGTATAACACTGGTATCAGTGAAAAGAGCTAGAGAGCATAAAGCTAAAATCCACAAAGACCTGATACTTCTCATTTCGGTATGAAATAAAGTGATAGTGCAAAGGATTAATTAAATACGACTTCAAATTCCAATCATCACAAGTCGAGTGGAAACCAGAAAGTGAGAAACGATTTTAAGCAGAAGTCATAAGATAAAAGCTTCGATTCAAAAACCAATGTTTATCAAAAGCAGTTTATAGGCTAAGCTATTTCAGATCCAGCCTCTGTTCATATGATTAATACAACTGGAGGAATAAGATCTCTTTAAGAAGCTGCCATACTTACTCAGTCAACAGATTTTTCTGAAAATAGAATATAATCACTAGAACACTAGAAGAGAATACTTAGTCTGTAAAATTAGAATCCTAGCTCAATATACTCGAACACTAATCAGCCACAATTCTATCCAGGAACTTAAAATCACCTAATAAATCAAACTACTTCATCTCTCTAAAACTAAAATATAATCACCTATGGCTATGGTTAATCTACAATGGGAGCTGGAGGTGTTGGCATCAATAATATGATGAGGACAGCTAATGCCACGAGAGAGGATTTCAATATTGAAGATTTGCATTCTCAGATAGTTTATAAACTATAGAGATCAAAGAAACTCATCAGAGAGATTGAGTTACTGCCTCAAGAGAGGGATTAGGAAATGATGGAGGACTCAAGTGACTTCGGTTCAGGCAGAGTAAATCATAACAGATACTAATAAAAGTAAATAAATGGTGCAAGAGGCAGCAATGGTGGTGGGCCTTAACAATAGCCACCCTAATCCCTTATTATCATGTAAAATGAAGAGATAATATGTGGGGATGGCTGCAATAGACCTGCCATATTTTTCGGCAGAGCTAATTGAAAGGCGAAGAACAATGGATGAACTCGTACTCGCTGACAATAATTTATTGAACACAGACGTGAGTATGAGTGAGTCTACTTCGAAGTTTCTCAGTCTTAATTTGAGCAATTTAACAACGATATATAATTTGTTTATATAAAATAACCTATTTTAACTCAAATTCATTAATTCACAAATACTGTATGCAGATTACCGGGGTTTTGGGGTTTTGGGGTTTTGGGG